CACTTTGAGGTTTACCTAGGGTCTAGCCCTGTGCCAATCACAGTATACACCGACCACAACCCCCTTGTTTTCCTTTCTCGAATGTACAACCACAATCAGAGACTCATGCGGTGGGCGTTACTGGTACAGGATTACCATCTTAATATTAAACATAAGAAAGGTGCAGACAACTTCTTAGCAGATGCCTTATCTAGAGTGTAGCTTATAGTTTCCTTCAGTTGGAAATGTTCCTCCCAAACCCTTTTAGGTTAGGATTTTAAGGGGGGAGGTGTTACGGCCAGTGGCCTTTTCTGTGTTTGTGTTTATTTTATTTTTTTTCAGAGGCCTGATCAAATTGACTGCACCTGGAAGTGGATGTTTTTCCTGTGACACACCTTGGGGCCTACCGTGATTGGATCACCAATTGCCGGCTCCACCAATCATTGTTGAGGCCTCCATTTAAAACCAAAGGACTTCCTAGGGGAAGGCGCGGCTGATCCTTTGTTCAGACAGCTTGCCATTTTGTGGGGTGTAGGTTTGACTGCTGTAAAACTGGTGTTAGCTTTGATAGCTTAGTCTGCTCTAACAGATTTTGTTCACCTTGATTTCTTGTGTAATTTGCTTTGTCCCGGTGGGGGAACTTTGAAACGCCGTTAGAGACTTGTATTTTAGTTTTGTTTAACTTGTTTTGAGAGATCATTTTTGTTTGGTTAAGTTCTTTGATTTACATCTTTGTTTTGTGGATTTTGTTTTAGTGAATACTCTGTTGTTGAGAGTCCCTACATTTTGATTAATAATTGTTACCCTTATTTGTTTATTTTGAAAAACTCCAAACATTAAATCCCTAAATTGTTAAAACCTTACCACCAGGGTTTCTTTAATGTTACTTCCTTTTTCCCTGGCTGAGCCGGGTCGTAACAGATGTTAACTAGGGTAACAGTCATCAGTCATGGACAGTGAGTTCACCCCTTGAAGACTGTGGATGCCTGAAGCAGCAGACTGCTTCACCCACAGTGTAGGAAGGAAAGAGGTCATTCACACCTAATGATGTCAGACCGCTATTAATTGTGTTGTGATACTGTTTACTGCCATTCACATGTTGCTTTCTTGCAACTGGGATCAATTATCCTCATACCTAATTCATTTGTAAAGAAAGGTTGAAACAGCATCATAAATCCCATTTCATTTTCCTCTTCAATTGCTTTTTTAGATTTTTCTGCAGAGAAGTAAAGATGAAAACTACAGGGTGAATAGATGAGGTCTTACATAGAAGATACTAAAGAAAAAATGAACAAAAGCCTTTTTTTTTTACCCCAATCTCAACTAATCAAACAGACCACCCATTAAAGCCAGCGAGTTATTTTGAGCTGCAGTGACAAAGGCAATAGCTCCTACCATCCAATTTCCCATCCCTCCACACCTCCCTCCCTCCCACACATGCTCTACACACAGACATAATAACCACACAGTTGCACAAGCATAGCGCTAAATTGCAGCTGCATTTGATTTTAACGCACAAATGTAGCATTTTCTACCGCTTCCAAATGGTTCATAAATTACACCTTGCTTCAAAAGCTTCCTGGATAAAGAAAGAAGCCTGAAATGTGGCTGCATTTTGGGCTATATAAGGAAATGGGGGCAAAATATAGTAAAGTACAGCACTGATGTACAAATCTAAATAACCTTTATTGCAAAAAAAAAAAAAAAAAAAAAGGTAGTCCTGAGGATTTCACAAAAAAGTAAGCTTATAAAAAGTAAAAATGAATCTTTTTTTGTAAAAGAGAAAAGTCTAAGAAGCATTTAAACCTAGCTAGAAATAAATGTGAAGGATCCTTTCGAAACACAAAGCATAATAAAGCAACAGAAGATGCATTAAAAAATACAGGCTGTTAAAAAAGAAGTGTCTGATTATGCTGCTTAACAGGATATAATAATTGCATTCATTCACACTAAAAGGACAGTACAAGGAAAAAACTTCAGCAAATTATGGATGGATTTAATTTTGTCCAGATGGTTAAAGGACCGACACGGATTACAAACACTTGTAGCACTAAAATTGACTTAATCTTTACCAATCATCCTGAACGGATCACAAAATCATACAATATGTTGACTGGTCTCTCAGATCATAACATGGTGCTGATAACAAGAAAGTTAACCAGACAGCGATTCTCAGCCTATTCCGGAAAGAAGGAGTTCATTGGCATTCCAAGGAACAAACAGGAACAATTTCACACTGCAATAAGAAATATGAACTGGGACATTTTACTATTGGATAATGAACTGGAAATAATTAGTCAGAAATTCACTGAATGCTTACAGACAAAAATTAATGAATTTGCAGTGACAATTAAACACAAAAGCAGAAAGTGTTCTCTTCCCTGGCTCAGTGACGACATCAAACAATTAATGAAAGACAGAGATAATGCCCTTAAAAAAGCCAATAAGTCCAAACTATCTTGTGAGAGACAAAAATTTGTTTCATTACGGAATAAAGTGACAAGTCAACTACGAAAAGCAAAGGCAGACTTTTTTATCACAATTATTAAAAACTGTCATGGAAACCCAAAAGCTATTTGGGAACAGATTAATAAATTAACAGGTAAAACTGTTTCCAGTAACAATTTAATACAGTTGAAGAACAATGGCATGCTTTTGCAGGATCAGTCTGATGTGGCACAGACACTAAATTAATATTTTGTTGATTCTGTTGAGACCATAGTCAAAAGTTTTCCTGTGAAATATAACAACATACCTGCCTTTAGTTCAGAATTGTTAATTGAGCCCCCACTAAATCCAACATCTGTATCCATATCCGATGTGGAAAAGGCAATTAAACAGCTTAAGTATTCAAGAGCAAAAGACGTGTATGGGATGGACACACACATGTTAAAACGAATAGGTCAGTCAATTATGGGTCCACTAACACATATCATTAATATGTCACTAGACCAAGGGAAATTTCCTGAGCCATGGAAATTTGCTAGCGTCATTCCCATATTTAAAGGTGGCAACTCTCTTCTGACATCTAATTATCGACCTATCAGCATTTTGCCAACAGTATCTAAAGTTTTTGAAAAACTGGTTGCTAAACAAATCATTAATCATCTTAATTGCAGTTCCTTTCCTTTACACTCAATGCAGTTTGGATTTAGGGTTAATCATTCTACAGAGACAGCAACAAGTTATTTTCTGGAAAAGGTTAAATCCAATATGGACAAAGGAAGGATAGTGGGAGCAATTTTTTTAGACCTTCGTAAAGCTTTTGATACAGTTAATCATTCCATTTTACTGTACAAACTCAGTACATTTAATTTTTCCCCCAAATTCATTAGCCTCATTAGTTCATACCTTTCATCTCGTTCTCAAAGTGTAAGAATTGACCAATACAATTCCACCCCCTTATTATTATCAACTGGTGTTCCACAGGGATCAATTGTAGGACCAATTCTTTTCAGTCTATATATTAATGATTTACCATCTGTGTGCAAGAACTGTGACACTTTGATGTATGCAGACGACACAGCTATCTTGGCTTATGGAAAATCCACAGAGGAAGTTGCCGCAAAACTAACTGAGGCCATGTCACTGATCTCAACCTGGCTTGAGCAATCCTGTCTGCAACTGAACATATCTAAAACAGTTACCATGTTTTTTTCAAAAAACAACCTCATAAATATAGAACCTGAAATTTTAATATCTGGAGAAAGATTACAGGTCGTCACTGAATATAAATATTTAGGTTTACATATAGATTCGCATCTCAATTTCAAAACTCATATCCAAAAGGTTCGTAATAGGATTAAGTTTAGTTTAGCAAACTTCAGATTCATTAGAGATTTTCTTTCAACTGAAGCTGCTAAATCATATTTTTTCTCCATGATTTTATCCCATATAACATATTGTCTAATAAGTTGGTCCAATACTCACTCTACTACAATAAAACCATTAGAAACATTATATAAACAAGCATTAAAAATACTGGATAAAAAACCTTACCACTACCACCACTGTAGTATTCTGAGGAAATATCAGTTACTTACATGGAACAATCTTATCAAATTCAAAAACATCTGTTTAATTTATAAAATCAGACATGGTTTAGCACCACCTCCACTATGTGACTTTGTACAGTTCAGATCCAGTGATGTCAGGGTAACCAGAGGGGCAGTGAGGGAAGACTGCATCATCCCCCGGAGAAAAACAGCCTTTGGTCAGGCTGTTTTCTCCGTAAGAGCATCTCAACAATGGAACACAGTGCCAGAAACCATCAGAGACTCTTTGTCATTCTCTTCATTCAAAAAGAATGCAAAAAAATGGCTTGTAGAGAGCCAAATTTGTGGGCACTAAGGTTTTTAGTGTGTATTTAAATAATTTTACAATATATTTTTAATAATTTTACATACATTGTACTTCTTAACCATAATGTTTTTATGTAATTGGTATTGTAATTTAATCTTGTGATTTTATACTTGTGTTTATTTTTAAGGTTGCCTTTTTAATATCTGGCTGGGGGACTACCGATGAAAATTAGCACTCCTTAGCTAACTCGGGTATATTTACATTGTTTTAATGTTTATTAATGTACACTGTCCCCTTTCAAATAAACAATAAATGAAATAAATGAAAAATGAAAAAAGCTTCAACCTGAATAAAACAAACCTGCTTTAAAAAAAAAATTTGCTCATCATCACAAATAATCCATCCCTTTATGATGTATATGTTTTCTATTATTATGTACTGCTTTAGTAATTTATATACTTTAAACCAAATAATCCAGTGACTCTTAATGTTTATTTTCTTATTTGATAGAAAGTCAGTTCTGTAGCATTTTAACAACACGTGATAGTAGCAGATTTGCAAATCTTATTTGGCTTGCGGTGATTGCAGAGTGACCCGTTGTTCTGGTTTTTATTAAATCTATTTTTTTAAGCACATCAAAGTTTTTACTTGGCAACGGAATACTTAAGTGTGAAAGAGAACGGCAATTTCATCTTTATTTTTCCCCCCGGGCGTCTCACCTCAGGTGCGATGTAGTCAGGGGTGCCGCAGAAGGTACGTGTGGACATTCCTTCATACAAGTTCTCTTTGCACATGCCAAAGTCTGCTATTTTAATGTGGCCCTCACAATCCAGCATCACATTATCCAGCTTCAAATCCCTGCAGCACAAAAAGCTTTATGAGAATTTACATTACTACCTTTTATTACATACTATTGCTGTTTGTTACCTTTAGAAAAAATCATGACATGAGACATGAATTAAACATGAAGTTAAGGCTGCATTGAATTTGACAATGAACTGAATAAAGCTATTAGGCAAACTATTCTATAACCAACGCCTAATGGATTTGGATCAGTTGAAAAAATTCATCTAAGCATGACCTCTTACTACTGACCTCCTTTATCTAAAAAAACAAAACAGATTTAATTCCAAAAATTCTCTGATAAGTTCTAAAACGGTGAAAACAGACCAAATCTAACCAAATCTAAGCATTATTTCTTCCTCTTGTTACCGCTCCTTCAAATTGTTTCCTAATCTTCTACTCTACCTGTTCCCTATGGGCGTGTTAAACAGTCAGTGTTTGACATCATGGTAAACACAAAGTTTTTTTTATCTAAAACTCCAAGAACCCACCTGTAGATTATTCCCTTCCGATGCAAGAAAAACAGACCATCTGCTATTTCAGCTGCATAAAACCTGCAAAACAGTTAAGATTTTTCAAAACAAAGACCTGAATTTTAACAATTATATTGCTTTGCATTCAGTTCCACTTTGATTCCACTTTCCACTTTCCTTTCACTTGTCTAATATCACAATGTATTTATTGTAAAATATAGAGACAAAGCAAAATAACAGATCTATTCTTTGTACAAAATGACCTAATTGGTGAACATATATCTTTCTTTAGATGTTCTATGTCGTTTAAAGAAACAGATCAATGTAGGAGGAATGTTTTTCTGAATGAATAAACCAGGCTTTAAAACATCACTAATAAACCAAGGTTGTGTTCTTTTATAATGATTCAGTAAAGAATCTAATCCAAATTGAGTCTCTTCGTTCTCTTTTACCAACAGCTTCAATAGAGGAAAATAAATTTTTTGATTCTTATAGTAAAAAATTTTTTTCCCACTATTAATATATGATAGAAGCTCAACCATGTCTACGTATGTGCGATAAATGTTTGCATATCTGTAATAAAAAAGTCTAAAAACATTAATATAAAGTATTCAAAACCTTGTTTTTTAAATATGCATGCAACTGCACAACAGAGTTCATCTGGAGGTTGAAGCTGCCTGCAGAATATTATTTGTGATTTGAAATTATGTGAGTGTGCATATTTCAGAGAGATTTCTTACACTGCCTGTGGCTCCTTAAACTTGCCCATACGCTGGATATGATACATAAGATCTCCTCCGTTAATGTACTCCATCACAAAGTAAAGTCGGTCCTATAACAAAACAAATAGCAGATGAACAAATGTGCAGCAGGCGATTTCTTATTGTAAATCATTTCAAAAGCTTAACAAGTACACAGCAGAAAGTAAAGCAAAGAGGGCTATTTTTATATTTCTAGTTTTTATTTAAAAATCCTCAGCCTGTCCCTGCACTTTCAATTTTCCCTGTAGGGATGCCGAGAGAGGAAAGAGTACAGAAATGCTGAGCACAAAATAGAAATGTAATAAGAGTTACACTGCTTCCTTTTAAATAGTTTTTTTTCTGGTCTGTAAGAACACGCTGTCACTGCAGGAGGCAATGTCAGCTATATTAGCTGTGACGACAGCAAGCTCAAGTATTTTGTTTCTTTAACCTACCACAGTTTGAAAGCAGGAGTGGAGCTGTGTGAGAAAGGGCGGCTTGTCTCTCAGTGCCAGGACCCTCTTCTCCACCATTGTACATTCCACGTCGTCGTCCTGGATCACCACATCTTTCTTCAGGATCTTTATGGCATAGAGCTCCTCTGTGGACTTCATCTCTGCCAACATTACCTGCATTTGAAAGGATCGGACCAGAGAGTTTATTAAAAGGCAAAACTTTGGTTGTTTTACTTAAACTTCTGATGATGATCTTATAATATATAAATGAGCTCTCACCTTTCCAAAGCTGCCTTTTCCCAGCAGGGCCAGAAAGTTAAAGTCACTAAGCCGGACCCTGTCCATGTTACCTGAGGGCAGACTGAACCGCCGGTGGTCTGTTGGTGTGATCACCTTTTTACCATGGCCTAGCTTGGCTTTCTGGTACATACAATACACACACACATAGAAAAAAAGGTTACGAACACCATTTAATAAATGTAGGTGTAACTACATTTATTATCCTTTTCTATAAGATAAAAAAAACAAGATTTCCACAAACAGTGAGTGCAGGACACGTGCATCAGCCATTAGAAGGTTAGACAAGCTGTTGATGCCAATCCAAAACGAGGATATATCCAATACATGAAATAAGATTTTGGTTGAAATTGATTAACTTAATAACTTGTCTTTGAGGAGAAGTGAAACCATGAAGTTAAGAAAAATCATTAAAAATAATTTAAATTGCAGCTAAACATTTCAAATTTTACAAAATACTATAAGGAGACTGACCAACCAAGATAAGTGAAAATTGTTAGGTAGGAATTTAAAGAAGAACCAAAGAACTAGAGTTATAACCCACGATCAACTCAGACAAAAACAGCACAGAAGCAGCCAAGAAACCAAGAATGACTCTGCAGGAGCTGCAGAGATTCACAGCCCATGTAGAGTGAGCATTGTCAATGCAATCAAATCTGGCTCTTGCTAAAGATTTTCAAGAAAAGTATCTCTTGCTTGCAGCAGGCCAAATCAGATCAGATATGCCCAAAACCTCTTTGCTCATATGCAAAACATTATGTGTTAAAGCAAGCTAACACATAGCCCTCTGCACAGCATGCTGTTCATCCATCTCTATGATCTCTTATACCAATCCTCCAGCTCCTTCTGGAGGCTCTTTACAGCTTCAGTTGGGATTCAAGATCTTTCTAGAGAATCTTCTAACATGCTCTTCTTCAAATCATGCTTTACAGCTTTTACTTTTGTGACATAAAATCACATAAACTCCCAATAAAATACACAGGTTAGAATTGGAAAGTGACAAAAAGTGAAAATATTCAAGGGTATTGTTTGTCAGCTTTTGAATATAATGCACCTACTACCTTCTGTTTTTTTTCCCCATCTGACTATGTTGTTGTTTTCTTAGACATCCTCAGACTAAGCAGCATCTTACTGTTGATGCCCTTTAGTAAAGGTGTCAGACGGCACTTTTAAGATGCTAGGATAATGATTAATTTTCTAAACACCTTCAAATAGATTGTTAAAATTAGACAGATATGACTCAGAAATGGTGCGCCAATGAGAGCTGTTACCATGATAAACAGGAAATTCAATATCCCACACAATAAATCTAATCAACAGAGGTGACATGGCATGGCAGCTCCTTAACAGTACGGCTTTAATAAACATTGACTATAAGGTCTTGGAAAATAATTCAGTGAAAATGCTTTTAACAACAAATAAGATTGTGTTTTAATGTCCAACAAAAAAGTAGTGCAGAATTGTTAGTTGTAAAATTCTGTAAAAAGTACAATCTGAAAAGAGTTGCATAAATCAAAACCTCCAGTGTCAAAAATGCAAAAATCATCTGCCACATTTAGAGCTGTAGGTATTTTGGCATGTCCCTGGAAAGGAAGACACCTACAATTCAATGTGCTTTGAACCATTAATTCACAGCTCTAGATTTGTGTTTATTAAAAGTTCAACCTTTACCCAAATCTTATGTCTTTTGCTGCTTCTCATCATTTCTCATTTAGTATTACCCTGTAAATAGCTCAAACTAATGTATTTAAATCAACTGCACAGCAGAGTGAAATCCCCCTGACCCTACTAGGATGGGGGACCTGACCTGCTTAAAAATCTATCCCTCAAATAGATTAGAACAGAATAGAATTCAACTTTATTGTCATTAGACTGTCACAAGTACAAAGCAACAAATGTCTATACATCTATCCAGAAGTGCTATACAGGATATAAATATGTATTTACATGTGTACAGAAACTATGTATCTATGGACTATAAATGGTATATTTACAGAGAGTAATTAAAAATTGGATACAAAATAAATAAATAAATATGGAGGCAATTAAGATTATACAGGTAAGTCAGGGTATGGATGATATATATATATATATATATATATATATATATATATATATATATATATATATATATATATATATTAGTGTGGTTATAATACAGGATAAATAATGACAGATAACAGCAGATAAAATATTTACTGATAATATAATAACAGTTATTTAAAAAGGTATTTCAACCACTGAATATATATAATTATAATAGATAAACCAAAACTTCAGCCTGCACCATATAGTTACTATGGGTGCAGGCTGAAGTTAATGTTTTGCCTTTTATGTAGACCACAAAAGTGAATGCAGAACACCGTTCTTCTATATTTATCATTGTCCTTCCACTTCAGTATTATGCACTACTTTGTGTTGCTTTAATATATATTAATTCCAATGAACAGAATACATATTAGTGGTTGCAATATGAAAAGAATGAAAAGGAGTCCGGTGGTTGAAATACCCTTTTAAAGCAACAAATGTTGATTGATGTCCGCTTATTACTTATATCTTTAACTGTTGCATTGGATCCAGATTTCAGCTTCTGTCATTAATGCTCAAGCATCAACCATAATGAGGCACTTCAAGTCTCCCAGTTCTTGACCCTTCAGCTTTCCTTCGCTCTTTCTCATCACTTCTGAAGTATTCTATATAAGACCAAAATATTTGGAATAAAAACAGTTCAGATGGCAGATCTCCGGATGAAAAATCTTTGAAAGTTTGATTATTTCTTAGAATCAACTCAGAGAGTTCACATTACCATATTTTTGTTGCTTACACCAAGCATACGCAATGTCTTTAAATAAAAACAAGAGTGTTCTTTATGATATTCTGTCTTTAAAATCCTCTTAGAGTGCACTTTTTTATTTGAGAGACACCTAGTGGTCATTTCTGAGATATAACTTTAATAGTAAAAAGAAGGGATCTTTCTTAAAAAACTATATAACTTTTAACACAACCCACATCAATAGTTTCACTTCAAACAATTACAGTACTTTGACCATTTCATCAAACCAGATGCAATGCAGCCAAACATGAGTCACACACGTACGGCATACTGCACACACAGCAGTCAAACTCAGAACCTGTGAATATACAATCAGGCAGTTACAATAATCAGTGTTTTTCCATGCTTATGGCCACACAGCCTTCTATAGTCCTCATCAGACTAGTAGAAGGAGGACAGTAATCACCCAGTGGGGAGGGGGATGTGGATCTATGCTGGCCAGTGGCTGTGCAGTCCAAGGTAAGGATGCTCCAAAACCAGAGGCCAGAGAGGACCACAAATTTACTAACAACAATGCTGTTTGGTTTTCATGTGTTTGATAAAAAATCCTTATGTATTAACAGTTGAAGCAGTGTAGCTGTTAGAAACAGCCTGATTAGGATGGTTCCTGTCTGGATATATACATATTTAAGAGCATCATTTGTTTATACTACATCAATAAACTTTTATACTGTCCCTTAAATCTGAACTAAGGGCCAAACATCATCATATTTAGAAGCCAGGAACATCAGAAAATGTAAAATCAGCCTATTTGTTCTTTTGTTTTGTTCTGTGGATAGTCATAGGTTAATGTATTGCATTTGTGGAAAAAAAAGATACTTTAGGGGGTGATGTGTGCTGCTTATTGTTGACACAGATGATGGTTATAGTGAGCTATTCCACAGCAAAGATCATTTGTCTCGGCAACTTGGATTAACTCTGTAGAATAAAGTTGATGAAGATGTTTCCAACTCTGTGATAAACCACAGAAACCAGTGGATCAGTGCATTATTATTGGATCAGTGCTGTGTGTGCAGTATATTATCTATTTTTTTTATCCATCATGTATCCTGTTTTTATAAATATCTTCTAATGTTTAAAGATAAAATTAAATCGGTAATCAAGCACTCTTCCTGCATCTTTTTAGCATGTCAAATAAATACAACCCTGAGTTGTTGTTGTTATTTTTCTCTGTGCCTGAGTCAAATGGGCAACAGCTAAATTAACTGCACCTACTGTCTGGTAATTAGTCTTTTAACTTAGAAAAAATACATATCTTAGACTAACTTTTACATGTTTTCAGAAATCTCAGTGGAGACCAACTTAAATGGGTTGAGTGACACCGTAGAATAATGTTTGGCTGCATCAGTGTAGTGTAATTAATCTCTAACAAGAATAACAGATCTATTATCTGGAGAAAAATTAGACTTACAGAACAACTTCATGTCTAGCCAGTACAAGTTATCAAAGTTATATAATTATCCAAGTTATAGGAGATGGTCACTAGATGGTCACTATTTCCAACGTTTTGATTTTTTTATGTTGTGTAACATATGTCTTAATATTGGACAAAAAAAATATTTTGATAAAAGCTTTAAGCCTCCAAATCGGGGAACATAAAAATAAACAAAAAAGATTACTTGTGCCTTTTAAAGGTATAGAGGACAATCTTTTATTTCCAGGGTGGATCATCTAAATAAGTGGTCCTCCTAATTGTCAATCATTTTGGTGTTATATGATTACGTAAGGCCGCCCTGCTTGCTCACCCAGTTAGCTATCTTTTTTGCGCATGAACACTTGCACACGCTGTCGCTACCCGACAGTGGCAAATAATAACAAAGATGGAGCAGGCACCCCGCGGTGGAGGAGGAATAACGTGTACAATGGAGTGATCATCTGTCCTACCGGCCAGTTAACTGAGTTTACTTTAAAGTCCACTATATAGCCCCCGCTGTATGTGGATACAGTTTGTATGGGCTATGAGAACAGCACATTTTAAACAGGGCGTGTATGAGAAGGAATGGGCCCATGCATTTTTTTTTTAAAGTGGAGAGGGCGGGTCGTTTAAAAAATCCTTTACAATACCTTTAAGCTTTAAGCTGTAGCTCTTCAAAAATGTTAAACCAGTATCATCTCGTTGGAATAGTACAAACTGTATCCTCACCCTTTGCCTGTTGGTTATTCTAAAAATCATCTTTGTCATTGATTGCTGCTGAGAAACTAGGACCTCAAATCTGCTTTGGAAATTCATCAAAGTACTTTTGAACAAATTGTGAGCTTCCTTAAATGTAAACAAATGTGGTACAATAATATCTTATCTTTCATTTTGACTATTGTGAATTTCCTCTCATAACAGAATTCAATTTTATATTCTATCATCATTATCTTACTGAAACAATGCATACATTTGCAATTTGATTAACAAAAACAAATGAGTTGGGTGCAGGTGTATTATTTGCACGATGGCCTTTGTTAGTAAATCAGATTAATTTGTGGAGTCCAAGCAACAATCCACAAACAATCCCAGTACAGCAGGGGAATAAGTGAAAAGCAAGCCGAAAAACACGAGAGAAACAGAAGCAGCAGGCAGGGGAGCTACCTTGAGATAGTGGATATTTAACTGGCAGGCCTAGAAGAGAGAAGAGACTCACTCATTAGTGGGCTAAACAATTAACCTAAGTGTGCAAGTCTGAATGACACACACCAGCAAAAACATGAAGTTATTACTCTGACGACTAGAAAATATTAAACCATAAAAAAAAAATCACATCTTTTGCATCCCAACCCTAGTTTCCATGGCAACCAGCGGTTGTGTGAAGATGTCAGCGACAAAGAAAGCCAAGGTTGGTCGGTTCGTACAGTATGAAGAAAAGAAGCAAATTAATACTCAGTTCCTGAGGGAGTGCTGTGAGAAGAAGGCATTTACATTTAGTATTAAACCCTGTACCTCTCAGACACAACCATTTCACCAACACACCAACCTTAAGAGTTGGAGTTTCATGAAATAACCTTCTGTCTCTCACAATTCTTGGGCTTCTTGCATAAGTCCCAACAAGTTCTGAACTCCTCGCTATAGTACCCCAGTAAATAAACTCAGGTATATGGAGAGGATGTGAGTTTTAATTAAGATTGGATTCTGTACAAGCAACCTCACTGATCTGCAGTTATCAAAGCAACCACTAGAGAGCAATAACAGGCTACAGTGTGTCCTTTAGATGTAATCGGAAGGATCTGCAGTTTATTTTTCTAGTGATTAAAAAAACATGAGAAGCAGGTGAAAATTTCACTTAACAACAGATATCAATTCAATAGACTATAGACTCTCTCAGTTTTTATTTTTGTTGAGAAGTAATAAAGAGAGAGACTGCAGGAAAGCAGAAATGAGTCTCCATATGTTGTGGGAAATGTTTTGAAAAAAGGCATGTGAATGGGTTAAACCTCTAAAATCAATCAAAGTGACCAGTCTTGAATCCAGATAGGAGGCCCCCTTAAACTTAGGTGCAACATTTCCAGTCTTTCAGATCTACAGTATGTAAGCTCTGTTAAGCATCCAGTGCCATTTAAAGTCATACCTGGTAGAGATTTAAACCCATAAAATAAATCCATCTTTATTGCAGCTGCATCATTTTGCACGGAAACCTGTTCTAATTTTTCCATCTATTTTTTTACTTGTTCAGTGGAAATACAATCAAAGTAGCCATTTACTGGCCCACCTTCAATAAAACTCCCTTTTGGAAAAACAACCAAAAAAAAGAAAAAAAGTACCTAGCTTTTCCATGACATGACAAGTTATAGTATACCGATAAAATTATTTTTGGCAGCTGTTATATGAGCAAACTCTACATATGATCATTTATCTTTTCCTGCAGGATTATGGTCTATGGATTTAGCAAAAGTTGATTTTTCTATGCTAGTGAACAATTTCTCTGTTGACTTGGTTATAAAATGAGAAGTCATTCTCCCTTTATTAATAGTTAAATAGTGCCTTTCCTGGCTTACAATTGAGAATAAACTGCTTTTTTATACACTTATGCTGTTTAAGTCAGTTTTTAGTAGTAATATTCCAGCTTTTATCCTTTCAAAAATTGTTTTTAGTATTTCTGTTCATGATCAACAATAGAGTTTCCCGTAAAGGGCAGCTTGTTTTACCAGGTCCAAAAACCAATGCTTTATTCCTTTTATTTATATACTGTAGATCATTACGTCTTTGGAATAATCTACCTCAATACATCTGCTGCAGTTGTAGCAAATAATCTTTTAAAAAAATTCTGAGACTCCATTTGATGCCCTGAAGTGTTTTTGTTTTATTGGGTGTTTTAATTTACTTTTTTTGTGCATTCTCTGATCATTTCTAAACTATTTGTTAAGAAATGAAATTTTTGGAAATGTAATATTTTGTGACTGTGCTTTGTATTGAATGCCTTTAATTTGGACCCCAGTAGACTAGCTGTTTGTCCTGGCAAAAGCTAATGGTGCTCCTTAATGAAATTACCCCAAAAAAGAAACAAAAAAAAAAAAAACAATTACAAGAAACCATAGACTTTAAAAGAGAGAGCCCATAGTACCATACATACACCTCTGTACTTTAAAGTGAGCTTAAGTTGCCTTTTCATCCATTTATTTGTGGTTTGATATGAAAAAAACTATTGTTTACTGTTAAAATCTCAGTTTTCATCTGACCAAAGTATACAGTCCTAACATGGTTTCAAAATGTTAAAGCAGAGTTAAACCAAATCAGAGCTTTAATGGCCACTAATGTTTTTATAGAACCTTGGTTAGGGGTATTACTGAGGTTTGAACCTTCCTATCAATGCTGCTTACAGTTCATTAATGGTCACAAGATCAATTTTAGTCCTCAAACCACCTAGTAGCCAGTGACTATAAGAAATAGGCAAATTTGTCACGTCATAATTGTCTTTATTTCAACAAATTTTTTTACTCAAACTTATATCCCCTAGATTGAGCACAGCTACATAATACAGGGAACCCACTTACACGATCCATTATATAACTGGGATTAATAGCATTTTTGGTTTATTTTGTCACTATAATATTGAGTATAAATGTGTAGTAGGAAAGGAATCTATGGTACAGCCTTGTGACAAAACAAATGAAGCTCTTAAAGTTCAATCAATGACGTCAGCCTGCAGTGATAAATAGGCTCATCTTAGAAAAGGTCAGAGTTATATCCAATAATCTATTATCATCATTATCTTATAAGGATAATATGTATGATAACTTGTTGAGAAGATATGTTTCAGTGAGTGACCTCAATATTTTTGCATCTATCTAGGTTATCAGTAGTGACAACCCTAAATGTCAAGATGGCTGCAACTTGTTACATGCAAGTTTAATGAAACTTTAATGGTGTGTCTATGATTGAGAGTAGATGCCTTTTTGCTTAAGACATTTTATACCGGGTTCCCACATTAATCTACAACAGGACTGACTCACACTTGCAAAAAAAAAAATAAAATAACAGATAATCTAAAGAACAGCTTCCATTCTAAGTATTTTACTTCATTTTTGTCACCATCTCTGTAGCACTTGATAAAAGAAAATAAGGGTATAGGATGATGTTTCCATAGCGACAAGAAAGAGAAGGACCTTATTTGTTAAAGCCCATATGAGCAGCTGAAAAAGACATTTGAAAATAATTTTTTTCCTTTCTCTTTAAAAAAAAAAAAACTAAAATGCCCACCTCAAACTTTTGTCGAAGCTCCAGATTGACGTCGTCTACCTCAGGAATGGGAACATTGTAATATTCTCCTTCCTCCTGGTTTAGGAGCTTGTACCTGACAGAGCAGAAAGGGGCGAGATAATCTTATTTCTTTAGCAATATTCTTTCATACCTGAACATACAGACTAATGTATTCCAATTAATCTTTGAATTCTCCCATCTGTCCTCCCACTCACACTTAAGTCTTTATGCTTCTGCTCTCTTTAATTACAAGTACTTGATTTCTATTTTCTGTATGTTTGCAGGGCTCTACTCTTTTGCTACATTGAGCTTGCTTCTAATTAAGGTCTAATGAAGTGTCATTTATAGGAAAGACTGCAGCTAAACACCCAAACAATAGTATTTTTTAAGCTGTCTGCCAACATTTGACACTTGTATTTCCTCAGTTTCCTTTTGAGCAGAAGCTATTTAAGCTAAAGCAGGAATGCTAATCTTGCTTCAAAGTGAGAAACAGCAGATCTACAGAGAGAAGCAATTGTCTCCAACAGGTTGTTTCTTAGATATTCTTTTATCTTCATACCAAACATGGGGTTTAAAATGATTAAAGAATGGTTGTGTTAATTAAAAACAGACAAAATTGGTGTTCTTCTGTTTCCATTATGTTGTAAATTACCTGAAAAAGTAACAAATGTCAAATCAAACTGGAACTTTGTGCCAAGTTTGTCTTTTATGGACTGAAACTGGTCTAAAAAAGGAGGAGAAGAAAGGCCTCAGAAGAGACAGATATGTCCCAGAATGCTTTGCGCGGAGAGCTCTCCTCGCAAAGCATTATGGGATTTACCGTCAGAGTGGCCCACTGTTATCACAGGCTTTCACTACCGACAGTGGCGACTAAAAACAAAGATGGCGCAGGTACCACACAGTGGAGGAGGAGTTACGTGACCTACGGGGACCAAAAAACAGTGATCATCTGTTCAAACGGTCAGTTAACTGAGTTTGCTATAAATTCCACTATGAGAGCAGCAACTTTTAAACAGAGCATGCGTGAGGAAAACAATGGGCTTGTGCAAGCTCTTGCACGACTTTAAAAGGCGTTCTTACTCGAGAACTGGTACAGGGACATGCATGTGCTTTTTTTTGTTTTTTTTTTAAGTGAAGAGGGTTGGTCTTTTAAAAAAATTGGGAAAATCCCCCACAATACATTTAAAGGATAAACTATTATTTTGAAATAAATCTTTTATTGAAAGATATGGAAGGGTTGGAGCAAAATTATTTCTTTTTAGCGTGGAGGTAAATGCTACAAAAATATGAATTTAAAGCAGCATGCAATTGAACAATATATAAAAAAAATTTTATGCTATCGGGGAAACTAACCATCCACAATGAGAAGCCTTGATGAGCTCAGAAACCCCAAATGACATAGAGCCCATGAAGTCGTTCCTGGTGGTTCTGTCCCAGTCCCATACTTCAATTGACAGACGTCGATCTTTATCTGATGCTTTCAGCTTACTGTACAGACATACACACACACACACAATCAAAAATGTATTCATAGTTAAATCTTTGCATTTTGATTTTACAGGAAGCTTTTAAATGATTTTCTAAAAGATCAAACTGACTCACAAGGTGAAGGACTCGTTCCAGCAGGGATTGAGCGAGGAACGGATGGTCCTGGTCTTCTGTTTGGTCTCGTTCTTTGGGTCTGGAATGAGCTTGAGTTTGACATAGGGGTCTGATAAACCATTTGGATCCATGGGAATCAGATTCCTGGCTTCACCCACTGGAAGGAAAATATAGACAGATTGGTGAATTTTACAGACATTAATCTTAGCAGCAAAGGAAAGCATCGTAAGTAGTTTTAGTTATTGAACTCATCTACATGATCAATAGCCAAAAGTGTATCTATTGAATGTGTTATGGAATCTGAATCCAATCGTGCACATAAATAATATATTTGTGTGTACAATTATAGTTCAATTCATGAGTAAAAATGAATTAGAATTTATATATTGACTGAGAAAGACAGAGGGAAAGGAGGATGACTTGGTAAAAGGCACTCTACTGTACTAGAACAGAAATCTAAACTTCATGATATCCCAGATGATATCCACTCCACCAGAGGATGTGGTGGAGTGGATCATTTACAATGATCAGCACCCTCTCCATCAGGCAGTGGTCAGAGAGCAGAGCACCTTCTCTCAAAGGCTGCTCCAGCTCTGCTGGCGAAGGGAAAGATACAGGAAATCCTTCCTGCCATATGTCATTTGATTGTACAATAAAAATAAACTCTTGTCTCAGCATGCAGTAACCGGCGCTACACTGTTCTCCATATAATAGATGAATTATAATCTGTTCACTGTACCATATACTTAATTCATTTTACTTATATTTTAACCAATACTGTTTATGTATACATTTTTATACTGCATTTAAATTGTAAATACTTCTAGATGTTATTTTATTTTTTACCTCATTCTGTTGTGACTGTCACTATGAGTAATGCTGCTGCTATGCTGCAATTTCCCAGCTTGGGATAAATAAAGGTCGTCCTTCCTACTATCTATCTGTATGTCTGTCTGTCTGTTTTCTGTCTGTTAGCCGTATACTGTAGTCGCACTAATTATGAACATTAATGTAGGCATGGGTTGATTTTTTGAGCTGCTTCATTGTTAAATTTTTTAAAATAAGTTTCAGATGCCTGAGAATGAGAATTAACCCAGGTGTGTTGAAAGTCATATCTTTTATTATTGTTGATAAATTTGAATAATTTTCACCTCTTTGATCAAGTGGCATTAAAAGCTCCTTCGATTAGTGTTTTTTATAACAGTTATAAAACTTTTAGCCGTTCTGTACAATGGAGTATTATGGTTATACGTAGTAAGAATCTTAAAACTACGAGACTAAAGTTGTAACATTATGAGAATGAAACCACAATATTGGTCGTAATAATGTTAAAGTCGTAACATTATTAGACGAAAAGACTTGTAAGAGTTTACATTGACATAGGCTACATCTTTAATCTCAAAATAATTAGACTTTATTTTCAAAATATTAGAACTTTTTTCTCTTTGTGTTATAACTTGATTCTAATAATTATTAATTTAATCTCTTAAAGATGCAGCTTTCAGACTGTTGGTATGGTCCTGATACCCCATCGTACATTTTTAACTCAGCAGCATTGTTTTCAGAAGATAAATTCATTAGGATTTATATCGGTTTGGTTTTTCAACATCACTTTCTACTACCGTACTCAAAGATCATTGTTCTTCTCTTATCAAGTGTTTCTGCTTTTTTCACCTCAGCTTTGTGAGGCTCTTTCATGTCCCTTGTCATGTTCAGTTCCCCCCATAATCAAAGGCTTCCTATCATCATCATCATCGTCATCATCATCGTCAATGTCAGAGAAGATGGAGGGAACTTTCTTCTCCGCTGTCACATCATCCGTCCTCAGAATGAGGGACTACTCTAAAGTCAGCGACATAATGCAAGTAACTGCCCCACTGTCACTTCACTACATACTTACCAAAGACAGGTAATTGCTGTAAGTCAGTGTCTTAATGCAATCTGCTGGGTTTTTGTTAGAATACTTTGGAATAAAAAGCTGAAACTGACTAAACTGTTTGACCATCAGGAAACATTAGAATATTTGTACTTAATTTGGAATATGCTTTTATGATGCCATTAAATTGACCTTTTATTTACGTGTTGTAAATTGGAGCATTATAAAGACACTTTGAATCAATAGTTGTTTCATTTCTATTTATTTTGTAGTAAACATCCAAGCATTTAGCAGTTCTCTTTGTGACAGGCACTCGTTATCACTTCCACGGGCTTCATTCTCACTTGAGTTGATGGACAGTTGTTCCACTATCATGCAAGATTTTTACTACAATACATCTGAACTGATCAAAATATTAAAACCTTATCTGATAAAACATTAAAATGTGATAATACATGTTTTCCTCCTCTAAAAATCCTTGAAGTCATTTTTACTGGCAAAAAAATGTGTTGCAGATTTTGTACAGTTTTGAGCAACAGTGTGAATTGCTGTTGAATTGTAGCAAGAAATGCATGATGCCCAAATTAGAGAACAGGTGATCATTCTTCCAATATAAAGTTTATATTTGAAAAATCAGTCAATCAATTTATTTATTGTCAACTACATTTTGCATTGTAATCGAGATTTAAGTTTCAGTTCCATATATCAGTAATATTGCTCTCCACTTGTTACTAGATTCCACTTTATTTGCCACTGCTGTAGAAGGATTGACAAGATATACCTGAAGCAGGTTTAACAAATTCAGATTCAACTCTCTGCAACTCTAAATTGATCTAGCCAAAAGTCAGGCACTGAGTGTTCGGTTTCACAACAGTTGCTACCAATTAGTTTAATCAATTTTAACTAGGTCCACCCAGAGTTATGCGCGTGCACAACAAGTATGAAAAGCCACTATCAGTGGAGTAGCGATCAGACGAGTCATCATGAAAAAAAAGAAACGGGAAGTGCTTGTTTCACCCCACTGGAACTAGAGATTTAAATGCAGAAATGCAAAACAATAACAAAGGAGCATGTGTTTCAAAGACAGAGAAACAGCGCTACAGCTACAAAGGAGAGGAAGGTGGCAAAGGAGAAGATTTTTGCTCGAGTATGCATGCCTAAGTTTATGAAGTGGTCTATGGCAGGCCGTTTTTAAATTTATCAAAAGCACACCTCTCTGTTGTTCCGTTTGATAAGATTCTTCCTGATCAAAATCAAACGCCTAGACCCAACTTTGATAATATATTTTCTAAATTACATTTTAGCAGCAGAAACAGAATTTTAGAAAGTAAAAAACAAAACAAAATTTTATTAGTAAGAATTAAGCTTTATACATCTAGAAATGATGGTCGTAATGAATGGTAGTAGATCAATGTATCTATTTAGGTTCTATTTATCTTCTGGCAGCAGGTGAAAAGGAAGCCTAAAGATGTTCTAATCTATAGAACCTGCGGATCATCTCATGGGTCTCTCCTCATTTTGATTCAGTCTTATTTTACACAGTAAAGTGGCTGTTTGCAGCCGTGCTTAGGACTTTATCATTCCAATAAATGGTTTTTATTAGCTGTTATCAGTACCACAGAATGCATTCAGATTGTGAAAGTAGGCTCATTAGGTTGTTATCATCGAGTGAATCTTAATCCTAACCCCAAAGTAATTGCTTTTCCCTCATGGAATTAATTAATCTATTTACATATAATCTGAAAATAATTTCAGTAGTTCTTCATGTACTGTAAATATTAAAAAAATAAAATAAAAAAAACGCATCTCGCTCATATTAAACAAACCAAAAAGAAGCAATCTCATGCCCTGTTAACTGAGTTGTAGAATCCTCTCCCTATAAATATTTAATTCTTTTGAAAAAGTGCCGATCATTCTTTAATAAGATCCTCGTCATCGGACATGCAATGTTTGTTTGTAAACCTACTGTGTCTAATGGACCGAGTGAATGATATATATATATATATTATGCACAAAACTAGGACAGAAATCTGACTAAATCAAGAAACAAAATGGCGTGATTGGCTGTAAGGAAAGCGGGGACAGAGGACACTTAGAGTTTATTGAAGAAAACCAGCTACCGACCAGGTTAGGTCTGGGGAGAATGTTACTATGGTGACTGAAACAGAGGTTGGGGAAATGCTCTTTCTGAACTGAAAAAGTCAGAGTTTCCTTGTTTTCAGGTTTAGACAACTTAGAGTTTTCAGTAAACCTGCTGTCTTATTGTCTGTTGACTACCGGTATCTTGGATTTGAGAAATGTTGTTGCACTTGCAGAGGATGGCCAATAGTTGGCAGTGTATTGCATACTGTACTGCAGTTTGTTGTAGTTTACACAGTTATAACATAAAAAAAAAAACACAAATAGAAGAAAATGGATTTCAAATAACTTTCTACTTCAGGGACTATTACATAAAGGACCAGTATGGCATCCACAGTGAGAGAATTGTCGTACCACAAAAGGATTTTTTGTACTTTCGTCTTTATACTGCTAAATTGTAAGTTTGCAAGCAGGGTACAAAATATTTTCTATGTTGCTGAATTAAATGTATTTCCGTGCATAGATTCCATTAGAAGAGGCACATATGCTTATAAGAGAAGCTGTGAAGCAATGCATACGGTTATAATTCCCTTAAGCTGAAGTGCGAAACAACACCATCAGGAGTGCAATACTAGTGGGTGTAAGGGCACAGGCACACAGAAGAAAGAAAACAGAGGCCAAAAATGATCTACAAGTGCGCCTCACTTACCCTGCCATGACAGGTGAAGACAATTATACTCTAGTCAGCAAAAACAGTGAATGAGGGTATTAGTTGTGAAGAGATGGTAAATGGTAGCTTGACATTTTTCTGTTACAAATACTGTAAGAGGAAAACCAACAAGGATCCAAAAACAGTTAAACAATGAGGGAAAGAGTGAAGGCCAATGTTTTTAACCACTTTCCACTTTTATAACACAGACAAATGTCACACTAGAAAAGTAATAAAAAGCAATAATAAAAAAATCCCTCAATATTCTTCCCCTAGAAAAGGAAGAAATGAAAAGCTCCACCAAAGCCGGGAGCTTAAAGGAATAGTACACCCAAAACATGATTAGCCTTCATTTTCTACTCACCCCCATACTGAACAACACTCTGGAGTACTTTTTTGATATCTCAAATGCATCTGGAGATCTGGGAGGCTTCTTGCTGTCTGCTGACATTCAAATAATGGAGGTCTATTGTGCCCGAGACAGAAAGGTCCA